ACACATGTGTGTGTGTGTTGAGCATCAGTTAAGACAATGTTAGCACCTGTCAGCTTTAATTGTGGGGAAAACTGGATAATTTTGAGCTTTTGTCAGCTAATTTCAGCTTCCGGGTTTAAAATGATTTTTGGGGCGGGATCAAAGTACTCAGGGATCAGCAGTACTGCAAGTGCAATGATGACGCGTCGGTTTCTCATTATTATTCATAGCGGAGTTTTCTTATCCTATGAGAAGAGCCGGCTGCTTAATTATTCATGAGACCTGCCAGTGTCAAGCCCGAGCTGAGAGACACGGAAACCACGGCACAGTATTTAGCCGTTCATGAAGGCTCATATGCGTTTGTTTCCATGATCCACGGGGTTTGTTGCATGTTTTCCCCCGCGATCTTGTCAGGGCCGATCATACAGCAAAGCTGTGTGTGTGTTGCTAGCATTTTTGTTGGGAGAGCAGCACAAGAATTAAAGAATGGCGGACGCTGTCTTTTATCAGGAGTTCGTTCACATTCAGACACATCGCCGTGCTGCTGTGTTTGCCTAAATCCTCCAGATTACCAGCAGGGTTAATGGTTAAAATAGACAGGAAAACTGCTGCACTGAGTCTGCTGAATACGGGGATTGAGGGAGAAGTCCTCATTTATAGGGTTTACATGAACACACTTATCTTTATAATGATATAAATTGTGGTTGTCTGTATATGAAATTACGAATAACAAATGTAGCAGGGCATTAAATCTCTGTTCATTTCTTTGCATTTTAACTTTGTAAACTATAAACTCAAGCATCTCCTCACGGTTTGTGTCTCAGTTTGTGAGCTAACTGACAACAACAGTTGTTCGCTCACGTTCTCCCCTGCTGGCTACGCCCACTCCTGCCCAATGCTCGCGGAGCTCCACGCCCATTAATCATGCATCTTTTGAAAAAATTCTGAAGTAGACTTTAACCGAAAGTGGGGGGTGTCATGGCCCTTTAACACAAAGTCTGCTATGATGCTTCAGCAGCCAAAACAAAAGACCAAAACTCAAACTGTTTTGTTAAAAAAGTAAATATTCTGTTATTCACAGAATATTGTTTTATATCTGTATGACCAAAAATTAAAGAGTAACCCTTTAAAGTGTTTTTGCTGTCATTGGCAAAATCGTTCATTGTGCTGGTGTGTTTCAGTTTCACTTTGATTTGTTTAATTTAAATGCATTGAGAAAGCACAGGCTAAAAGACGGACATTATTAAAGCTTTTGGATATTTTTAAAGTGAAAAGCTTATTGGATTCATTTACAATTTATTTATTTATTTTTTAAATGCATGATTTAGATTAGCCCTCTCTGAGCTCGCTCTCAACTCCAACTTAGCCCTTTTTGACATCGGTCTTGAATGAGCTGGTCTTATCTACAACACTGATTAACAGACTCAAAATAAAGTCATGTAGTCTGAAGGCATTCTACCAATTTTTAAAGTCATGTAGTAATCTTGTTCTTGTCTAAGCCATCTCTTTGCAAGTAGTGTCATTTTGACTAATTAATGTTTTGAGAATAAACAAAGCATGATGCACAGTTATAGTTAAAGGAACTAATCTTGTTGAAAAAACAAATTCTTGTTTTAATGCGTGGTACCTGTACTATTTTTTGAGGTATTGTCTCTAACTGATCAACTCTTCACTGTCGCTTGGGCATCTGAAAACATATAAATAAAGTAATAGTTTTGGTTTTGGAAATACATTTTCTGTGGAGTTCATTAAGGAAAATATGCCCTGATTAAATTGTATAGAAAGTATGATTTTTTTTTTAATTTTTAAAATATATTCTTGGTAAGTCTGTGTGTGATTTCACATCTTAATTTTCTCTGCTGATCATAAAAATAGTGATGCCACTGACATATAGAGAGTGGAGTCATCTGCTGCCACAGATGCTCTTGTAAACTGACGATACAATATTACTATCTTGCTTAATAGCAATTGCCTAAATCTATTGAAATTCACTTGTCTGTCTCCTAACTGCAGTCTATAAATTGTAAGTGCACATATGTTCTTATGCTAATATTAATGACAAGGCAAGCACTAAAATAGAGCAAGCCTGTACTTTAGTAAGGAAAATTATTTTAAGCTCTGAAATGTTATCATAAAAACAAATGGAAAAATTCTCATTTTATTTATTTACCTTGATTGGTGCAGATATTTAACCAAAGCTTATGCACGTGGCAATATGTGCTTTCCTGCAGATTAAACACTTTTTCATCTTAACTTACCTTGCTTTCTGTTTGCAATTAAAATAAACATTAAGCCAGCTGACCTAAAGTGGATCTTCATGCAGATTATAAATGATGATTAGTTAAATGAAAATCCCGTGCTTTGCTCTATTAGGTAAATTATGTCTAGATCAGTAACCATATTGATCAGTTATGTCTAGATCACTAATAGTATTGATCAAGGCCTCCTGCATGGCTGGCCAGTGACAGCTTGCCGTTAGAGCGTGCTTGATTCTATTGTAAATACATTGAGTGATTATGAGTGCCTCACTGTGGGTCTTTTGTTATTTTGCTGATGAGAGTCATTGGTGAAGCTTGGGAGCCTTCTAGGGATGAGTCGCTATTGTTTTGGTCTTTTCCTCAGGTCACCCTGGCTGTGTGGTTAAGGTGGCCTCAGCGAAGCTCTCTGCTCAGGTAACACTGGGGACATCTGGCTCAAGAAGCCATGTCAACCAAGGCCCTATCCCCAGTGCTATGAGGGCCACCATACAAAAACTTTACATGACCAGCTTTGAACCCCGAGACCTCAAGTGATCGATCCAGGAGGGAATAAATTGGTGGAAAAGTCGCTAGTAGGTGCATAATCATTCAGACCTGCCAAACTGAACACACAGTTCCTACATGAATCAGACACCTATTTGCAGAGACTGAAACAGTGTGATGGATGGTAAATGATGGATCTAGCATGGTTGAGGATTTTGTGCTTTGGGACGCTACAGTTGAATATGTAGGAGACTTTTTTTTGAGTTAATCTTGGTAAGTTCATATTTCTTCTTGTCATTTCTGCAGTTAAAAGTTTTAAACATAGCAAGTGTGGGCTTGAATGTTGTGACATTAACAACAGCATTAATCAAGACTATTATTAGTTTAGATCATTACCGCTGTTGGCATTTTGAAATGCTGAGCACTGAAATGTTTTACAGTTGTCTAGTAATTGTATACATTTAAATTCAAACGCGTATTGTGGCAAAAGTTTGTCAATAGAAAATGCTCCAATCCATACATTCATTTATTCATTTTCTTTTCTTCTTAAGCCTTTTATTAATCAGGGGTTGTCACAGCGAAATGAACCACACACTTATCCAGCACATGCTTTATGCAGCGAATGCCCTTTTAGTTGCAACCCAACACTGGGAAACGATCTAATCCAGTATACTAGATATTTAATAGAGTTTACCTTTCGTGATTTAGAGCAGTCAACCTATTTTGCCTTTCTTGTTATAATTTGAAAAAAATAATCATTATGCAATTCGTTAAAGCATTGCATTTGAAATTCTTAAAAAAACAATAATTGTATTGATGGTGTTTTGATGTGTTCTGTATAATCGTTTGAATTCTATGAATGATATATTGTCTATGTATTGAAAAAACAAACTAAAGGCACTCTTAGTTTTCACCAAATAAAAGATGTATACTAATATGTTTAAATGTTGTTTTAAGCAATTCAAGTCTTTGTTATATGCTTATAAGATTATGTTTTTTTTTTGAGACAGTCACCTCATCTAGAAGTTAAACTGGTATCAGACTCTGGTGTTGAGGGGCTTTGCCTCAGGAGCCCTTGCTAAAAGCAGCTGTTACCTGCTGGTCACTTTAGCTGTCTTAACACACAGCGTCATAACCCAGTTTCCACCTTAAAGTTAATTTGATCTTGTTCTAATTGTATGTTTATAAATAATTTACAGTTGCATCAGTACATTGTTCTGATGCTACTGTAAGAAAAAAAATGTGTACTGTAAGGGTAAATATTAATTGTAACATAGATCTAAGTTTAATAATAATAATAAGTTATAATAATAAGTTAATAAGTTTAATAATAAGTTTAAAAGATTTTTGATGACTTATTGTTTGTTTATGTTTTACTCTATTTCAATGGAACTTATATAAGTACAGAAAAAAACTGGACACAAATTTTCAATGTAAAATAATTAATAAAAATGCCATTCAATTGCACCCCCTCTGCTGACTTATTGCTAATGTTTATAGATTTGTATTTAACTTTAAATGTATACATGGTTTATTATACAACTGAATGCTTATGAAAGTTGTTGTTTTTGGATTAAAATGCATTTGCACTAAAATTATGAATTACATATCAGTAATGATCAATTCCATGTTTTGTTTTTTAAACATTTCTATGTTCCGTTGCGGTCACACTTTATTTTGATGGTCCGTTTTTTTAATTTAAGTTACATTGCACCTACATGCCAACTAATTCTAGTTAGTGTAAGTTGACATGTACTGGCGAAGTTTCTTAAAGTCTGTTGAAGTAGGAGTATCCACAGTTATTAAGGAGACAGACAGAAAAATCTTTTTAAATTAATTGCTTATTTAAAAAGACAAAGTGAAGTGGTAATTATTGAAGTGTCAGGAGAGATCCATATTTTATTCATTACAAGGCAGCAGTAAATGTCTGAAGCCCTTATATGTGTCTTGTACCATCGCTCTGCTCCATTTTCAATTAGGCTGAATAACAATCAATATGACTGATCACAGCTTAAGATCTGTGCCTAAACTGACTCATTTTTAAAATCAATAAACTATGGCTTTTGGGATTGTGGTTGTAATCTTATTGTCTTAGCCAGGCTTGGTATGATAGTGACGTTAACATGATCTGATCTCTTTAAAATGTGCATCATACACATGTATGGCTGTTCAACCTTTTGGATTTGGCCAGTGTCAGATTAAGAGAGCACGCTCAGAAATCTTCCTTCCAATTTGGCAAGGCAAGGGGCAAGTGGGGCGGGTGGATTCTCCATATATAAGAGCCAGCATCCTCCAGATATGTTTCACGTAGTTAGCTTGATGACTTCATGTCAGTTCTGATAGCATCTGTAAGCACGTCAACGTGATCGGCATTCACATTCTGTTTTTTTTTTTTTTCCAAATACATTTTTGTTGCAGTGAAATAGCTATTTTAAATAGTTCATTGTGTGCGGGATTGTGCCTTTGAATATTTTAGTAATGAATTACTGCATGTCAGACATGTATGACATAGCCCATGGTGTAAGTGGCGGATATGCGGTGCCGCCCGGAGGTGAGTACTGCATGTACAGTGGTGAAGGGCCTGGTTTCACTCACTGTGAACCACAGCCGTTACACCACCATCCTCCAAGCATGGAGCAGGCCTGGCAACACAGCCAACCCTATGGGTGCCCGTTCAGTGGGGCTAACCCTGTTTTCAAGAGTGAGTTATGCACCATGGAGGTGCCTCTCAGTCACTATCACCAACAAGACTACTACTCTGATGGCAGGCCGGATTTCTCTCAGATGCAGTGGATGCAAGGGCCACATAAGAAAGGTATTGCAAGTTCTAGAAGAAACGTAGAGGTATTGTTGGGTGTCAGTGATTTACTTTTTTCTGTTATTTACCTTGTAGTAGGCTTGTTTTTTTTTTTTTTTAATGACTGGCTGTTTGTCATAATTACATGTACTAGTATATCCATGTAAAATATTGCTCTCAGCAATTACCATCAGTAAATTCTTTTTTCATTTTATTAAATATGTACGGCTGCCCTGAATAGAAAGCATGTCAGTGTCATTAAATTTGATTCAGAATTTCAAAGAAGCTATCATACCTAGACAAATGCGACAGGGACTAATTTCACTTGTCTGAAAAAAAATTTAATCAGTTGGAATGTGTCAGAATTTAATGTATGAAGTGAATTTGAGTTTAAATTCACAATGGTATTCTAGCAGAGTAACCACATGTGTCATTCACATTAGTCACAACTCTGTTCATTGTTCACGTGAAACATGTTCTACTGACAATGTTTAAAACTGTATTGTTTTATTTGAAACCTAATTAAAATTAATTGTTTTGTCAGGGTTATCATCATTTGGTAAATCTGTCATTTATGCTAGTTACAAATACTAATAAATGATGGCAAGTGTTTAGCTTCTATTTAAACTTGATTGGACTGAACTTGGGTGAAGAGATTGCAGTTCTCAGTGCTGCTGGGGTTTTGCATTATGTACTGTATTGCATTGATCGCGAAGGTTGGTCGGTGGTTTGGGGTATTGTACATTGTATTGATTTGTAAGGACACAGACAGAGGAACAGAAGGTTTGAGCTGATGTCCTGTCTGTGACCTCCTCAAATGACTCATTGATCATATATCTTGAGCTGCTGCAAGCTGCTTTAACTTGTGCCTTAAAAATGTATTTATTTGGATTTCCATCTGAGTATAAAATAATTCTGATTGATCATTTCTTTCTTTGTCTGCTTGAGGTTTTTTTTTTTATTATTAACTAATCTATTTATTTTCCCTCATGAGCAGTTTATTTGGCAATGCTCTGAGTATTGAGTGCTGTTTTACTACACCAGGTTACCTCTTATTACTGTGAAGAACTTTTCATATGAACTTTTATTTACTCCTAATGGGGTTAACTTTTTACTTGAAGGGGTGTCATGAAACATCATAATCATAACATGACACATCTCAACAATATGAAGGAGATTTTATCCATGCTTATAAAAACTGTTATGAAATGTCATTCACTTGGTTGTGTCATTGTAAATCCAAAAATTATATTGTTTGAAATCTCCTAATGACAACTTGACATAAATTCATCCCAATCATGGCATTGCCCAGACATTAAAACTAGTCATAAACACAATTGTCATGAGGTCATTAGATTGTGATTTTGTAAAACTTTTTTAAGTTACTAATTAATATTGTTATTCGATTAATGACCTGGATTCTGACCTTCTGTTGGAGGAATAAAATAAAATATATATGACGCTGTAATGTTTAACATTAGTATTGACACTTAATGACAAATAAAATTTGTACCACTATTGTAGAGATCATGAAAAATATCAATGATGCTGTTAAAATGATGCTTAAAATTATTTGACAAGAGTATTGGCACTTTTAATGAGTCATTAAATTACGTATTTAGTTGTTCCACTGGAAAAAATAAGTGATTTGAAAAATATTCATACAAAATTACAGTAGAATAGCCTCATCATAACAATCATGTTCATAACAGATTTATGACGAGGTCTGTTGTCTTGGTAATGTCACATTGTCATGACTAAGACACTAACAGGTTTTGTTGTCATGAAAAAGACATCTCAATAAATCAGTCATCTTTGCATTTAAAATGACATAAACTGATTGACATTTAACATAAAGTTTTCATAAGAATGCAGAATAAAGAATAAAATCTGTTTCATATTTATTACATGAATCATGTCATGATTATTATGGTGTTATGACAAGTGTTTCGTTTTAATGGGTTGTGTTTGTTACTCTAACAGGGTACATACCAAGTTACCTGGACAAGGATGAGCTGTGTGTTGTTTGTGGAGACAAAGCAACTGGTTATCACTATCGCTGCATTACATGTGAGGGCTGCAAAGTGAGTTTTTTTTCTCTTGCCCTATGCAACATTGGCTTATTCTGAAAACGTACTCCTTTATTTCTGGAGATAGCAAATTATGTAGCCAGAGAAACATATGGATGCGTTTCATCTTTAAAATGAATGCTACGGGGTGGTATGACGCCGTTTCTTTGTGCGCAACTCAGCTGTTACCAGTTTGTCCAGTGGCTTGCTGTGTACGTTGGAGGATTTGAGATGCAGAGCGGAGTTGAGCATGATAGTTTCAGAAAGAAAGGTAAAACAAACTAGTAAATAAGAGCGTGAAAATGTGGTAAAATCTGGCTACTATAAGGGCTTATCTTTTTTAGGAAAACACTGTCAGTTGGGTGTAGGGAAGTGGGTGGTTACAGGTAAATCTGTGCGTTTTAAAACATTATTGGTTGGGTTGAGGGATAGGGGTGTGTGGGGGTGTCGGTCAGTCAGTCAGTCAGTCAGTCGACAGCAGCCTCAGATTGATTTAAATGAGAAAAGCAGGCGCGAATAGCACTCACAAGAGAAATTTGAGATCTTAAAATGTGTACAAAGCGCCCTCTGGCAGATTTGCGAAAAAAACAAAAAAGAGGTAGCTCCTAGGCCGTATTTGGTGCTCTCTAGAAATGTATATTGGGGTATGTAATCAGAATAAGCCTGGGTTAGCCCTATGCAATGTTTATGTACACAATAAAATGTGTAAATGAAGATATGGGTAAAACACCAGTAAAACAAGCAAACAAAAAAAAGAAAACAGTTTTCAATTACTTTTTGTGACTTGAGTAAATTACTTGCTTGAATAACAAAAATACTTTTATTTTTACTCCACAACAAAAAATTTTGAATCTTGTTTTTAAAGGGTTTCTTTCGACGCACAATTCAGAAGAACTTAAACCCAACATACGCATGCAAGTATGAAGGAAAGTGTGTCATTGACAAAGTTACCCGAAACCAGTGCCAAGAATGTCGCTTCAAGAAATGCATCGCTGTTGGCATGGCTACAGACTGTAAGTGTCCTAAAGTCAAACCAACCTGTCGGCCCTGTTAATTGATCATTTTGTTAAGAATTTAACTAAGATGGTGTGTTGTGGATAGTTTGTGCAAACATTTTGTTTTTCCTTCAGTGGTATTGGATGACAGTAAACGTTTAGCCAAGCGGAAGCTGATTGAGGAGAACCGTGAACGCCGACGGCGTGAGGAGCTGCAGAAGACTGTATGGGATCGACCAGAGCCCACACAGGAAGAGTGGGAGATGATACGGGTTGTCACAGAGGCCCATATGGCCACAAATGCCCAAGGCAACCACTGGAAACAAAAGCGCAAATTCCTGGTGAGAGGTCTCTTCCCTGTTGACAACATCACAGTGATTTTTCATGTGTTTTGAGAGGGATTTTGTTTTTCTTCTTTACCACAACCTTAGATTCCCCTTCCCCAACCCATTCTCCAGAATTCCCAAGCCCTCCCTCACCTCTGTTCCCAATGTTAATATGTCCGTGTTTTTGTATCTCCTTGTAGAATGGGGAGTATTAGATGGACGCTGGAGACTCTCTACCACAAAGGCAGCAGCACTAACTTTAACGGAACACCTTTGTCCTTCTTTCCTCAAGCTCCGTTTCCTACACCAAAAATGTTTTCTCATGTTTGCTTCTTTTCTGAACTTGTTGTCAATGTGTGTCTCTAACCAAGTTCCTAATTATTCTTTTCTTTTGGATCTAACTGTCCTCTACAGATTAAAGTTCTGTCTGAGGAGTCTTTTAACATTGTTGTGGGTTTCCATGAGAAGTTTAGTAAAATTGCAAGTACCATGGACTTAAGTGTTACTATGTTTTTATAGATGGAATACTTGCCTGAGTTACTGGAATGATCAACCTCACTTAAACATTAAGTTCATTTGTGTCCGTCAAAATTTTGATTCAGAGCTTTGTATTATTGCTTAAATAAAAAAACTCATTGTGTGTACATGAACCTCATTCACACAGGGATAGACATTTGGTACATATTACATATACTTTATGAATTGTTGATGATTCCGCCATTGTATTACTTATATTATACAATTTAATTTGAATGCCTCAAGATCCATGGAAACTCCACGCAAACTCAATATCTGACTGTCACTTTCTGTCTGCTCTCACCTGTCTAGTTTAAACTTGTTCTTTTTAGTTGACTTGACTCGGGTTCTTCATTGAAACTTCACGATCCCTGTTGATTGCCCAACAGGTCGAGGAAGCAATGCTACTTAATGAAATAACATGTAATTTATTCTGTACTTCTGACCAGAGTGCAGTGGGGGTGAAGGAAGCCAAGGTAAGAACCAGCAGAGCAAACACATTTATTTGTTTTTATCCAAAAGAACGCTCTCTCAAATTCTCAGCTGCTTCCATTTCTGTCACATTTTTATTTCTTTTTGTGGATAAATTGACATGTTTGTGTAGCTGTTTGCTCACTGTGTCAGAATGAAGGTGTACACAGAAGAGGAAAGCTGAATAATGTCAAAGGGGAACATCAGGCTGGGTTTGTGCTGTACTCAGCTCCCAGTCCTCTTTTGACCCTCAGTCTTATTTTTTCTTTGTCTTTTATATTACATTTTTCTGGTCAGAAGGGCAATCAATATATATATATATATATATATATATATATATATATATATATATATATATATATATATATATATATATATATATATATATATATATATTTTTTTTTTTTTTTTTTTTTTTTTTTAAGTGTCAGTGGATAACCCTAGTCAATGAACTCCCCAACAGAAGGAGATATCAAAGACATTTCTCTGCTCTTTTCTTCTTCATCTTTCCTCTTTTCCTTCTTAATAACTGGCATCAACTTTTTTTTCATTGCTGTCTTGCTGTAACTCTGGCCTTTGTGCTAGAACAAAAAGGAATGAGGATTTGTTGTGTCACATTATTCCTCTCAGTAAATTTCCTGTGACTGAGCAAACTGCCCCTTCCCTTCCTGTTGTTGCAGCCAGAAGACATTGGATCGGCACCTATTGTCAATGCACCAGAGGGGAACAAAGTGGACATTGAAGCCTTCAGTCAGTTTACAAAAATTATCACCCCCGCCATCACTCGTGTCGTGGATTTTGCCAAAAAGCTACCCATGTTCTGTGAGGTAAGAACACAAGCCTGCAGTAAAACAAAAAGAATGCAACTGCTTGAAAAGGCCTTCTACCAGAACAAAATGAATGAATACATGATATTTTAAAAGTGGAAAGTACATATTATTATTGAATCTAACTGTGTCATTTCTTTAATTGATCAGCTGCCTTGTGAGGACCAGATCATTTTGCTGAAGGGTTGTTGCATGGAGATCATGTCTCTTCGAGCAGCAGTGCGTTATGACCCCGAGAGCGATACTCTGACGCTAAACGGGGAGATGGCTGTCACACGGGGCCAGCTCAAGAATGGGGGTTTGGGTGTTGTCTCAGATGCCATCTTTGATCTGGGTGTCTCGCTGTCCTCTTTTAACTTGGACGATTCAGAGGTGGCGTTGTTACAAGCCGTGATTCTGCTTTCCTCTGGTTAGTGGTAAATTAATGTTCTGGATCACATTTGTAAACCAAAATTAGCCCTATTTAATAGCATTGTGAATCATTTCCCTCTCTTTATTTAAGAACAATTTCGAAATGAACATCAGTACATTCATTTATTCTTGTAGGGAAGAACCCTGTCTTTTTCACTGATGCATTGATGGTGTACAGTTGAAGTGAGAATTATTAGCCCTCTGAATTATTAGCCTCGTTTTTTTCCTCCCAATTTCTGTTTATCAGAGATTTTTCAACACATTTCTAAGCATAATAGTTTTAATAACTCATTTCCAATAACATTCATTTTACTTTTGCAATGATGACAGTGACAGTACATATTTTACTAGGTATTTTTCAAGTCACTTCTATACAGCTTCAAGTGACATTTAAAGGCTTAACTAGGTTTATTTGGCTAACCAGGCAGGCTAGGGTATTTAGGCAAGTCACTGTATAATGATGGTTTGTTCTGTAGACTATCGAAATATATATATAGCTTACAGGGGCTAATGATCTTTTTGACCTTAATATGGTTATTAAAAAATGTAAATGTTTTCACAGACATGCTGTGAAATTTTCCTTGCACTGTTAAACATAATTTACAAAACATTTAAAAAACTAAAAAAAATTCAAAGGAGGGCAACTTCAACTGTATATGTCAGGTGGTTGTCCCAGTTTTCAGTACAATGCTTGACTTCCACCAGAAGTCTGTTTAAAGGATCTAAGACCAGCTGCATTGGATGTTCCTGAGTGGTGATTACTCAGGATTACATGGGCCACTGAGGGAAAACCACTTAATAATGCTATTTAAAATAGGATTACACTTCAGCTAAGAATGTCACAATCAGTAGGTATGGCCTTCAATGGCCACTTCCACTCCTGCATGGATTCATTTTTGATTTCTGTATATTTAGAAAGCCAGTGTCCTAATTTGCAAGGACAGTTGTGTTATTATTCATGTTCTAATCATACCCTACATACACTAGTGTAGCACTGCACACTTCTGATGTAAATTAGCATTGTTCCTGGGCAAACATGCCTTTTTTCCATGACCATGATGTGCATTATAGAACGAGGTGGGTTTATTCATTTCAGTGCCACTGATAATTGTTGGTCAAATGGGTCTTTTTGAAAGAGGAAAAAATTGTGGACATATTTACATACAGTTGAAGTCAAAATGATTAGCGCTCCTGTGATTTTTATTATTTTTTATTTTTCAAATATTTCCCAATTTATGTTTACAGAGCAAGGAATTTTGACTGTATTTAAACAAAATCTCATTTGTTTTATTTCAGCTAAAATAAAAGCAGTTTTAATTAAAAAAATAAATTACATTAACATTTTTAGGTCAATATTACTAGCCCACCTGAGCAAATTTTTTTAATTGTCTAAATTGCACCCTAAGCGAAGTACAAGTATCTTAACAAATATCTAGTGTAATAGTATGTACTGTCATCATGGCTAAGATGAAATAAATCAGGTATTAGAAATTAGTTATTAATACTATAATGTTTAGAAATGTGTAAAAATGTCTAATTTCCGTTACAGAGAAATTGGGGAAAAATACACAGGTGGGCTAATAATTCAGGAGGGCTATTAATTCTGACTTCATTAAATTAGGTAAATTAAATTATAAATATTATATATAGTTGATAAAATTATATAAACTACAATATGAACATAATAAACAATAAATGAACTATTACTGTTCATTAGGGTGCTATTCACACAAAATATTATTCGGGAAGCTGAATGATATATGAAAGTGTTTTGTTATTAATGAAACTGTAATGTCCCTTATCTCTTTCTCTTTATTTCACCGACAGATCGTCCAGGTTTAACAAGCGTTGAGCGGATAGAGCGTTGTCAGGAGGAGTTTCTTTTGGCCTTTGAACATTACATCAACTACCGTAAGCACAAGGTGGCTCACTTTTGGCCCAAACTGCTGATGAAGGTGACAGACCTGCGCATGATTGGTGCCTGCCATGCCAGCCGCTTCCTGCACATGAAGGTGGAATGTCCCACAGAGCTCTTTCCGCCCCTCTTCCTGGAAGTGTTTGAAGACTGATGGCAATCCAATCAGGCCAAGCTGCTCCCACCAACACCAACCTCCACAAATCAGACCTCTACAGTCTCCCTGTTCCTGGTCATATGTTTCTAGCACTACTGAACATCATTTCATTCCATAGAGTTAGGAGTAGCTCTGGGGCCTATTTGATGGGATCCATTCCTTTTACAAAGCGGGTACATTTGAATAGCATAAAAAAATAAATTCTGTTACTATTGTTTTGTTTTTTCAGAAATGTTTGATATCTGGTCATAGTGTTGGATACCGCTCAACAGAAATGTATGAACTATGCATTCAGGTTTCATGTCACATCAGGCCTCAGAAATAAGTCAAATAGCGCCACACTGCAAAGGATAATAGCAATATTTTGTTTCAATTTACGTCCTTATTCTATTGGTCTATAGGTCTTTTTAAGCTTATGTTAAGCTATAGGTTGTTTATTGTTTTGTTCCAGAACCCTGTAAAGCACTTACAGTACCTAGACCGAATTTCATTACATCAATAGGCGCAAAGTAAAATCACAATTGTGGGCTATATTATTACAATACTTTTGTCCTAGACAAAATCACTAAATGGAAAATGCATTTATACTTGTAACTTTAATTTGCATAGTTTAGGAGCAGTACCACAAAAATAGATCTTAGACTCTTTATTGTCTCAGGTTTGTCAGAATAACTCGGAAAGAAAAAATGAAAGGTCAGTCAATTTCAGTATTATGTCTCAGAAAAAAAAAAGATCTGAGCTGCCATAGGAGTTAGTTAGTTTTTAGCTGTGTACTCCTATTTCTGCTTTGAAATTGTAGAGGAAAAATACACAGACAAACTGCTAATTCCAAAGAGCAGCCTCAAAACATAAAACTGTAATGTGAACAATCCCAAAATATAGTGCTAAGCAAGTAATGGCGAAAAGGATGTAAAAAAAGGTTTTCATGTATTCAATGCCATGTATATTAAGTATTTGTGTGAGGGGTTTATTTGGAGTGCTCAACATTGTCAGTTGTTTCTGTGCCATACAAATATCAGGTTTCATTTCAATTAAGATTGGATGTTTAGATTAAAAGATGGCTGTGTAGGCGAGAACCTTAAAATAATTATTGTTTTTAAGTGGCAGAAGGTGAACTAAAACTTGTAAATGACAAGATGGAATGTCCCTTTAAAATGTGGTTACAGCCCTAAGGCTTTTTTTTTTTTTTCAGTACACCTGAAACCTTAATGGGCAAGCAGACCTCAATATACTATAATATGCATTCAGAGAAAATTTAGTTTAAAAATCTCCATATTTTATACATGGAAGTTTTTTTTTTCTCTGAAGTCTTCAAAAACACAAATTGAAGCTCACACTGTAAAAAAAAATACCTGTAAATTATCAGTTTTTTGTATTTTGTTATACGTGTTTATATTTTTTGTTTATTTTTGCATTATGGGAAAAGTTAACATTTTTGTTATAGTTTAAAGTGTTATATTGTCTGGGTTGTGTTGTATATTTTGGTTTAATTTTCTGTTATTTTACAGACTTATTTTTTTTATATAACATTTCTTATACATTATATTATTTCAAACTACTAAAATGTTAATAAAAGTCCCTTTGTTCATTTGTAGAGTTGAATTTTCAACACCAAAAGTGGACAAAGCAGAGATAAACATCCCATAATGCAATTAACAACCGTAAATAAACGAAAAACACTTGTGAATCACAAGATACGGATCAACTGTTAATTAACAGATATTATTTACTTTTGGCCAGCAGCCACTGTTATTAGCTCATAATTAAAGTGCCAAAACCACAGTTTCCTTGGGTGTGTGTTGAGCTGTTTTACGGGTTTTTGAACCCAGCCATTGCTAGATCCTATGACCCACTGGAACTCTTTAAAGTAATTATTTCTTTTCTTTGATCAATATCACAGAATAGACCTAGCCAATACTGTTTGAATCTGCTGGTGCTATCAGTTTGCCGATTGTTACCTTTGGTAGTGCTGTCACTTAAGTCTGAATTGTTCTAGTAACTGACACATGCAAATGCAATGCCGAGGACAGCAGTCAACCCTGCAACATACAGGGATGCTTTTAGATTTGTCTGTGGTGGTGTTTATGCTTTGTTTGTATCTGTTCTGTTTTTTTTATTAATTTAATATTTTAAATCAACTTAGAGGAGAACTTTTGTGCTGCAAAAAAGTTTTAGTGACATACAGTACCTCAGTGGATCATCAGGAACTGTCAGAAATGTTGTTGTAGTTGATGATTTTTATTTTTTTTTTCTTTGAACTGAGAATCACACCTCAAAAATGCAGCGCATGCTTTATCAGTGTTTTGTTGTAGTGATGCCTTTTGTTAGCAATAGAATTGTGTCAGTGGTTTTACATGTTTTAGATTACATATAGCCGTACATGCCAACAGACTCAAAATTATTGCACAGACAATCAATATGTCCAGTGAATGAGGTTATAGAAAGATTTACAGGGAAGTTAGGGCCATGGCTAGGGTCCAACATTTACTTTTTGGCACCCTTACCTTCAGTAGGAAATCTCCATACCACCTACCAAAGGTTGCCTTGCTCATACAAGCTTGAAAGATTATACTGTATGAATGTGTCCAAGCTCAATCTTAATTTTTAATATATTGTTTTCACACCCCTAAAACTGGAGTGTTTATAACAGATAATCCAGTCCAGATTTATAATAAGGTTCCATTAGTTAACGTTAATGTGTTTACTGGCATGGACTAAGGATGAACAACTTATACAGCACTCATAGTTCATCATTTACTAATGCATTATTAAAATATAAAGTTGTGCTTGTTAACATTAGTTAATACTCTGAGTTAACAAGAACTAACAAGGAACAACTTTATTTTTATTAACAAACATGAATAAATATAACACTGTAAATGTATTGTTTAATGTTTATGCTAGTAAATACATTAACTAATGGAATCTTATTGTGAAGTGGTGTAGATATTTCTCCAATACAGTTTGGTAGTTTTTATTTTGTAATATTTATTTAAGATTCTCTGGGATTTGAGAAAGTGGTTTGTAATTATGGATTTCCGTTTTTTTGTTTTTTTTTTACTTATTTTGTTGCTGTTTCCAATTATGTTTTTTAGCCATCTGGCAAGTCTTATGTACTTGCCAAAGGCATTTTCCATATGTCACACTTGAAATTAGTTAATTTTGGACCCTGGCCACAGATCAACATGTGTATGCACAGACAGGCTGGGAGTCAATGCTATTTCCTCTAAGCACACAGGTATATATACAGTATATATGAGAAACACACACAAACACACTACAGAAATATATATGGCTTAAAGGAAAAGGCTGTATTTTTTTCAGACTGCAGATATTTTTTTTACATGTTGTATGCAGAATATGAACATTTTCCAGTTCTACACACAAATAAACAGGTGTCAAAATTTCACCATTCTCAGAAACCGTTTTTTTATTTTATTTTAATAATTTCAATTCAGTAGTGATCTCTCCTTATTGTGCTTTACATCATAGATTTGTTTAAACATTGTAGAGATATTTAATATATACTATCTACTAATAATCATAATTTAATAATTAATAATCAAAATCCAGAACAACCCCAAAAAAAAAAAACTGAGTTAGAATGAAACATAAAAGAAAATTGCTAATCTAAAACAAATTCACAGTACTTGTACTTCTTATTTTGCGTTCTACGTTTTAAACAAAAAAATCCACAGTATGCTGGTGGCAAGAATAAGTGAACTTTGAATGTGAATCATTTAATTATTATTTTAAGCAATGCATTTTGCTTTTGCTTTTTCCTTTTTTACTACTAAAATGAAAGTATTGCACAAGCCTGCTGTGTGACAGCAAAGCCTGGAATTCAAGCATGTTGGGATTTGGATGTTATGAAAGAGATTGCACAAGAAAATCCTGGATTTAGCAAAATATGATGATGATGATGATGATGATGATGATGATGATGATACTTGCACCTAAGCTGAATAAAGATGGTTTTGAGAAACGCCTGACATTTGTTGTGTTCTGTGTAGTAGACACAATAATTGTGAGATTATAATTGCTATATCTAGTTTCAATTAATAAAAGTAATATACATTTACCAGTATTTTACTTTTGTCATTTATGATACCCAGTTTTTAAACAATCTCGCAGTCCTAATACTTTCTTCATTATCTTATCAACTAAGTTTTATCAAATATAAAAGAGAAATACAACTTCAAGATTTTTTTTCTGAAAACTCCTAACTAAACTCCAGCCAAGAGCTGCATGTAATGTCAGTGAAATCATCGGAAGGTTTCTAAAGTGCATTTTAGTTAAGTGCATTTTATATACTTTTTATTTTATTCAAAGTAAGGTTCTGTGTGAAATCCAAACAAAATGGATCTTTATTTAGCATCACTGAAATGTTTTTTTTTTAGTTTAATTCATCTTTATTTCTAAGCACTTTTACAATGTAGATTTTGACAAAGCAGCTTAACATAGATAAAGCTCTAATGAATTGTTACTTCTTCAGTCAAGTATTCACAGTTGAAGTTAAGTTCAGTGTAATGTAAAAGTGACTCCTGAAAGCCAAAACTATAAAGAGCAAATCCAGCAATGAGAAGAACAAACTTCACCAATTGACATAAGTGAATTGAAAAAAGAAAAAACAGACTTAGTTGGGCACAACCAGTACTCTTCTGGCCAAATGTCTTGTGCAAAGCTGCAGTCTAGGCGCCAGAGGCTTGAGAACAATGGGCGTATGTCATGAGAAGCTGTAGGTTTGAGTAGGTCACTGGCACATATTCAGGCTAGCCCACGGGATCAATGCTGAGACTCGTCTTTCAGGAATCAGCCTCATGTCTGCTCCTCCATGAACACCACAGAGTCTGCTCAGGATACAGGACGGGTCCAGAATTATGGTGACCTCGGGATAAGGAGAAACTAACTAACATAAGCTTATATGCTGTTCAAATTACAATGTCTTTTTGGGAAGTGTTTCTGGCTGCCTTAATGCAGCCTAACAATCCTTTAGTGAATTTGAATTTCAAGTTATGCCTTTGTTTTTTTTTTATGTGTATGCTAATCCAAATATATGTGTCTTTAGTCTTTTTTTAAACTGACAGAGTGTGTCTGCCTTCTGAAATGTGTTGGGAAGGTTTTTTCAGAGTTTAGGTGCCAGATATGAGAAGGATCTACCGCCTACCGTTGATTATCATATTGATATTGTAGGAATAATCAATTGTTCAGAATTTATTTAGCATATGGGATATGAGGGCTGTAATAGACCAAGAGCTTCCACAGACACTGGGAATCCAATGAGATCAAGTGAGATAATAAAGATTAATATGGATTAGTCCCTAAATCAAAAAGTTATGAATTGCCATGAGATGAGTGTTGCTCAGTTGACTTTAATACTATGTTGAACTGGTGGTCACATTTTTTTACATGGTTCAAGTAATCCATGTCTCCAAAAAATGACATTAATCTAAATTTAAACCTATATCCTGGTAGGTTTAATTTAAGCCCCAATCTTGGAATAGCTCTATTCTTCCAACTGGAAACCAGTCTATTAATACCTAGACTATATCAAGTCTAAAACAATTTAAACCATGGCAGAGAAAGCCGATTTCTGTCAGTTTCATTTAATGGGTCATTTTTGTTAAGGACTAGGCTTAAATCCAGGAAAAGTCCAGGAAACTGCCCCATGATAT